TAAGAGAAGAATGATACATGGAAAAAGCAGCTCCCACAAGTTCTGGCTTTGGGCTCCACCTGTGGGAAGGCACACAAAGAAACTTCACTGGCACAAGTCAACCAACTCCCAGTCTGGGAGTCTCCACTGTCACCTCTGATTGGAGGCAATGGGGACAAGGCCTTGCAAAAACATCTGTGACCTACATACATTCCCCCATAATCCAAATATTTTGCTGATTGCTACTCTAGGCCATCTGCAACCATAAACATCCGTAATAAGAAAATATTGCTCTTAAATATGAGTATGAAGGTCAACAACTTTCCCTTAAGAACTGTTTCAAAAAGTGACTGAATTCAGAAATATACTCCTGCTCCATAGACTATGGTAGTGCTATTCTAAACTGATCTTTGACATTAATTACATACAAATATTAATAAAAAAACCTGATCTTATAAAACAGAACACATGGTATATCTCCCATTTCAAGAGATTTATAAATTTACAAGTTTCACAAAAAAGGAATCTTTGAAATGTTATCTGATTAGTCATTTATAATTGGGCATTTTATTCATTGCCAGAACTATCTACGGTTTATTCAGCCAAATGTCTACAAGTGGAATTCAAAGTACTTTCCCATACTGTCCTGCAGCCATCAAGATAGTTCCTAACAACAAAGTTGTTAGAGAATTCTACATTTTAAGCAAAGTATTCATAGGTTATCATGGGACATAGGATAAAAATCTCTGTTTATCACTGGATTAAAATGCTCTTAGAAAAAGATACATTATGATTACTTTCAAGTTTCAGCCAAGTCAAACTAAACCAAGTTTACTTTCTCCCACTTTTATTGCTCTCTGAGCAGCTGTTTGTTAGAGAATTTTTATTACCATTAAGCACAGGTGCAGGACAATGCATACAGCTCCTTCAATAGCAGGTACAATCTGACACTGGGAGCCAGCCCTAAAAGTGTGTTCATTGCATTTGATCAGAGATCATGTCTCCATTAGTACATATATCTTTAAATACTTGTGTCTACACATTTAGCACTCATCTCACCTCTTCCCTCCTTGGGAAAGCATAATTGAAAAACCCCTAAGTTAGTTAACCATAGCTTCTGGTGGCCAGAACCAGAACATCCACCACCACTGTATTTCCAGAATCAGTCCCAAAGCGTGCTGTACCTCTTATTCTACTAAAGAGCATCAGCTGGGTACCCTGGGAGAAGAGCTATGGAAGAACAAGCTCTTCCCTCCAGAACAGGCCTCAGAATACAGGTTTTCTTATAACTGTGATACATTTACTTTGCCTGGCTGTTCCTGATACCTGAATCTTGTCAAGTCTCCTGCCTTGTCATGTTGCCTCCGCAACACAGGTTCAGCGGTTTGCTGGTGTGCCAGCCTCTTGCCTGACCGTTCCTGTTCCTGGTCCTTGCTGTGATCCCTGCCTTTCCATATTACTCACTGTTGTGCCTGCCCCTAACATGACTTATATTCTGTGGTTCAACTACTGAGTCTTGCCTGAGCCTTGCTGCATCTGGTTCCTGTTGTCTCGCATATCCCACTGTGCCATATCTCCTACCCTGTTACCTGTTATCCTGGTCCAAGGTACTTGCTTGTTCCTGACCACATCCTTGTTCTGCCCTCATGCATTCCTCTGGCTCCTGACCTCAGCCTATGCCATTACTATGATTTGGACTTTACATTAACCCTAGTTTTCGACTGCCTTTCCTGAAGTTCTATTGCCCTGGTGCTGGTGTCTCTGTTGCTCTTGTCTTGCCTCTAGCCACCCATGTCCCAACCACAGATCTTGTTAAACAGAATGGAAAGGGAAAGGTCTTGAAGAGGAATTTAGCAATGCTGAAACCAAGAGAGTAGGGCTGTTTATGGAATCTGATAGAAGAACAACCAATAGATTTTGACAACTCAGTCCCTTCTCCACATTCTGGTTCCTTAGCCCTGCACTGGCACATGATATGAGTTGACACAGATTGCTGACTTCCATCTCTAAGACAGACTATGTTATGCACATTTTTAACCACTAATTAATTTTGCATAATTAAGCATCCCCAAACCACATGGTACTAGTGCCATTTGCTTAGCATCTGCTGATTTCTGCAAAGTAGCCAGTATTGCTCAAACTGCACTTAGACTCAGATTGTTTTCAGGTACTTAACTGTACAAATTTGATAAGCAGTTACAAATATGTGCAAATCATCATTTGTCCTAGAGATGGTAGTCTGGGAAAAAACTGACTCAGGCAGTGTCCCAGAAGCAGAAGCAGACAAGAAATCCATTGTGCTCAACCTAGCCTGATTTCCCTGTTTTGGTACATTCCTAAGAGAAAGATAGATGGTGAATGCACATCTGCAGGCATTTCCTCCAGCAACAATGGCTTCCAGTTCTGTGGCTACCTGAATAGGGGGAAAACCTCTCTCTCAGATGTGGTACTCACATCCTTGCAATATCACTGGCTGTCTTTGCCACCTGCATTTCCAAGCTCAATGAATGAGACATATTTTTTCATGCAGGAATGGGGTGAAAGTTTTCCATTTCATATTGTTTAAAGTTCAGAGATAAATGTTTTGGCTTTTCTTCTGCTTCAGCCCTGCAAAGAAATGTTCACTCAATAGTGAGGTCACCAAGCTTCCAGTCAATTAAACATTCAGTGCCCTTTCTTTCCTCTCCATGCACCCCCTTGACCCAAATTGCATGTATTTAGCTACACAGAAACAAATATTTCCTCCTAAGCTTCTCCAGCTGAATGAACAGTTACAAAGGCTTCCTCTGAATGTAATAACAACACAAATAATTCATCAGATAATCTCTGAAATATAATTGAAGGCTATTTTCCATTGTTCGTTGTGAGCTATTTGCTTCTTTGTACCATGTCTGAAAGCTTCTGAAGTTTTCTTGTTTGCTCTAGTTGCTTATTAGACAAAACAGGGTCAAAGTCACTCCCACACCGTCTGTGTACCTATGGCAAAGTACGCATAACTTAAAGAAGCAGTGATTTCAGCTTCCATGAATATTATCTTATGGAGAGCACCAGCTCCAAGATTTTGGGAGACCTCTAGAAAGGCACCTTCAGTGGGATCCCTTAGCTGGAAGAAGTAGAGCTCGCCATCTAGGAATTCTCACATGTTGTTTTCTTGGATGTTACAAAGTATAGCAGAGAAAAATGCTTGCAGGTGATTTTAAAGAAGTTAAGCCTATGTACAGGAAGGCTACATACGTAGGTATGGAACCCATGTTCTTATGAATACTGCAATATGTCCTGGTGAAGACTTGAGTATTTACTGCTGGTACTTGAGGGACAGGGACAGGACAGACAACAGCACTACAAAGACAAGTTGCTAAAGCAGCAACTGAAAGCTCCATCTCTTCTATCAAGCTTCTGAAAACTTGAGCCACTCACAGCTTGCTGGCCTGGTTTAGCAGCTTAAAAACTTCAATCAGTTCTGTTGACACATTTTCTGAATCCTTACAGCTGTGCAAAGGCCCTGGATTTTTCAAGCTTCTCAAACTGCAATCTGATCACCATCACTACTTTATTTGACTCCTGCTGATGGGGCAGGGGCAAGACAGTGTGGATTTTATGATTCCACAATTGTTCTATACAATCGTGCTATTGTTGCTACGGGGCACAGGATTTCCACTTGCATTTTTTAGAAGTTTACCTTGCTTCCTCCTTGGCAAGAGGTAGAACTTGTTCTCTTTGCCTCTGAAACGGAAGGCAAAAGCATGGAAGGTGGCAAGGTTTCCAGTAGGGGGTCCTATTCCCAAGGGAAGTAGCAAACTACCAATTTACTACTGCAAGAAACTACTTGTACATCTTTCCTGAGAAAAGCTAATACTTCCTGCCAAACCTCTGTTTACAGTGAATGGCTACAAATTCTACAAAAGCACCACCTCAGAACTTACCATTTCAGTGGAACCAATTCAGCTGTAAGTCAAGAAATACTGCAGATGGGATGTGAATGGGCAGCCAGAGCAATTGTCACTCTAGATGAACACTTCATTTACCATATTTTCAGTCCTTTCCTGTAGGCATTACAACATGAACTGCTCCCTTTTCTATATCCTGGCAGCAGCAGTATAGTGGAACCACAACTCACAGAAATGCAGCACCAGCACTTTTTCATTAGCAGGGATGATGACATCATCTGCCACCCCCCTACTACTTCCCTGTGCCCTCTCAGCATAGCAGCAATTCATACAGCAGCTGAGGTAGGGAAGGAAATTAATGGCCAGGATATACTTATTGTCCTTTGTTTCAATGCAAAGAACTTTGCCACAGCTTGGTCCTTAATAGGCAATTAAGACCTATTAACTTTGCAAAAGCTGCTCCTGGTGGAAACAAAAATGCTTGGTCTGGTTTGTTCATATTCAGACAGCTTTGTTTGGTCTTTCCTTGGGGATGTGCCTGAAATTCCGCATTTGGTCCACCACTGTCAAGCTGCATTCTCTGCAGGGAGTGTTAGCAGCTTCTAGAAGGATTTTGCATACTCTGGGGCTTGAATTTTAGGAGTATTGATAAGGACAGTCCTGGAAAATATGGCAGCCATAGCCACTGGCCGCTTCTGCAGAATCAGAAGTCCAAGGGTGAGAGAGACCAGCTGACTTAATCCAAATGGAAGAACTCTAGAGGACAGGAAGAAATGTTATGGAGCATTCTATTCCTGTGTATGTGGAGGCCTGCATTTTCTGAGTTCCTCCTTATGCTCCTCAATTCACAGTATAATATCAGTTAACTCAAGACTGCAGGAAGCTTCCTTCTGGATCAGTTTATTAAAACCTTTGCTTCCAAATTCCCTCCCATCCTTTCTTTTCTATCCTATTTCTTCTACCCACCACTTATTAGATTGGTAGCCTATGAGTAGGGCCTGTTTGATAGTTCTCATTTTTGTTCAGCTCTTTGACAACCCCAGGAAGAAATCATTTCCATAAAAGGGAGAGAAAAATGAAAGCCATCAACTTGAATTATAAAACTGAGAAAGAATAAAGGAGTGAAAAACTGACCGTTCTTGTTACATGGTTCACAAATGAATCAGAGTGATCCAGCTGCAAAGGAGAAAAGTGAGAGACAGTTTTACCCATAAGGTATTTCAGCAGAAACATTGCTAGGTGTCATCAATTAATTGGACAGAAGCAATCTGCAGAACCCACAACCAACCAGTGCTAACAAGAGAGACATTCAGCATAAAGCAAATAGCTTTGATGATAAGCTACAAGGGGCGTTCAATGTATTCTCGATATCAGCATGAAGAAAAAGGAATAATAAATTGAAATAATTTTTATTTTTCAATGTAATCCCCCATAACTTCAATATACTTACTACATCTAGAAATTAACTTTTCAATTCCCTGTAAAAAATACCCTTCCTCCTTGTCTAAAAAATGTGCGTTAATAGTCACCTTGAGCTCTTCATCGTCGCAGAATCACTTTCCACGAAGATCTTTTTTTAAATTCGGGAATAGGTAGTAGTTACTGGGAGCAGGTCTGGGCTATAGGGTGGGTGGTTTATTTCTTCGAAATCACAGTCTCGCACAGCAGCCTTCAAAACACATGCTGTGTGAACAGGCACGTTGCTGTGAAGAAGCAACACACCTGCGGTCTGTTTTCCCCGCTTTTTTTTTAATTGCTTCTCTTAAATTACACAGAGTGGTTGTGTAAGATGCTGCGTTTATAGTTTCACCTTTTTTCATGTACTCAATCAATAAAATTCCCTTTGAGTCCCAAAACACTGTGGCCATGATTTTTCTGGCCGATGGAGTGACTTTGAATTTCTTCGGAGGGTCAGCACCTTTTTTATGCCACTACATAGACTCCTGCTTACTTTCAGGGTCACAGGGATGAACCCAAGTTTCATCTCCAGTAACAATCCAGTCGAAAATACTCGATGGATTGTCACCACAGAGCTCTAAAAACTCCCTACAGCACTCGACTTGCACTTGTTTCTGAGGCACCATGAGCATTCGCGGCACCCATCTTGCACAGACCTTTGAAAGGTTAACATGGTCATGAAAAATAGTACATATGGTACCAACGGATAAGTTTGTCATCTCTGCTAACATTTTGATTTTTATTCGGGCATCTTCCAATACAAGTTTCTCAATTTTTTTCACATTCTCTTTCGTAGTGGCAGTAACCAGCCCACCCGAGCGAGGGTCGTCTTCAATGCTTTCTCTGCCCCTTTTAAATTCACCTGACCACTTTTGAACAGTAGATAATGAAGGTGCAGAGTCCTGGTAAATGGCCACCATCTCTTCGTGAATGATTTTTTGACTTTATCCTTGTTTTGGAAGGAACTTAATCACAGTGCAGTGCTTGATTTTCTTCAACAATGTCACATCAGTCATCATGGTCGTCTTTCACTGAGGAGTACTAGGGAACTAATGATCACACTTCTTTGAAATTTTGCATGTATACCCTCAGATGGTGTCATTAGCTAATGAAATAATTAAATTACCCACATCAATAGCAAATCAACCCGATACCGAGAATACATTGAACGCCCCTCGTATCACCATAAATAGCCCAATTGAAAGCTGTGGAATTAAAAACAAAATAAAACTCAAAGCAACATGGAAGGAAGAAATGTAGAATGCTCATCAGGATCAGTCACATTTTTCATTCTGTTTTTTGCCTGAAGAGCTCAGAGTGATACACAATTATTTCATTTTATGTTCACAACAGAACTGCAAGGAAAGGACACATTTCTCCAAGGACTCTAATAATTACTGGTTTCCTCTATAGCATGGGTCCTCAAACTACGGCCTGCGGGTCGGATCCAGCCCACCATGCCCATTTATTAGGCCTGCCTCAGAGGTTTTGGACTCCCTGCACCCGCCGCTGCTGCTTGCCTCACCGTGCGCAGGCAGCGCCAGCGGCAGTGGCTTACTCGCTCGGAGATGGTTTTGGATTCGCTGGGAGATCTCCAAGTGAGCAAGCCACCACGTGCACCTGCCTCCACCTCACCAGCCCGTGCCCCCAGGCACCCCCGCCTCACCAGCCCGCACCCGTCGCTGCCACCTTTCAACTGGGTCCCTGTTGAAAAAGTTTGAAGACCCCTGCTCTATAGCATAGGTTCTCAAACTACAGCCCGCAGGCTGCATCCAATCCGCCTCAGATATTTTGGACTTGCTTGGAGAAAACGATCTCTGAGTGAGTCCAAAAGCTCTGAGCCAGTACAGGCATACTCAGTGGAGAGATGGCCGCGATCACGGGTGCACTCGTGCAGGGAAGACGGGTGCGATTACGGTTGTGTTTGGGGTGGGGAGATGCCTTCCTTATATGAGCACACCCGCGATTGTGCCCACCTTCCCTGCACAAGCACACCCGCGATCACATCCATCTCCCCTCCCCACCCCCACCACGATCATGGACATTGAAGCTATATCCCTTGAATATATATGGACATACTCTTCCCCAGCTCATTTTGGGCTTCTGCTGCAGCCCAAGCAAGCGGAGAAAACATTTTCTATTTTAATTATTTTTTAAATTTTAATTAATTTTAATTTTAATTATTTTAATTAATTTTTAATGTGCAGCATGCATAGAAATTCATTTATTTTTTTTTTCCAAACTATAGTCCAGCCCCCTAACAGTCTGAAGGACAGTGAACTGGCCCCCTGTTTAAAAAGTTTGAGGACCCCTGCTCTATAGCCAGCCTGCCCACATGAGTGATCATCAAGGGAGACCCTCCTCAGATGTTCACCTGAGAGAGCAGTAAGGTGGACATCCAAACAAGAAAATACATTTTGCACAGTGGACCCACACCTCTGGAATAAGTTGCCATCAAAGGTCAGATAGGCCCAGTTATTTCAGGCTTTTAAGAAGGATCTGGAAATGTATTATTTTACTCCAGCCTTCCCCTGATATGTTTGCTGTTGCTACTGTTTTTTACAGTGTTCTCATTGTGTTTTTATCAATTTTCATGCATCATTTTTATTATGCATTTTATAGTTGTACACCTTGGGAGCACTCCTGCCCTGAAAGACTGCCAATTAATATTTTACATACATTAATAAAGTATACTCTATTTGCTTTCTACCATCCTTCCCCAACCTGGGGCTTTCCAGCTGTACTGGACTGGAAGTCCCATAATTCCCAGTCAACATAGCCAGTGAGAATTGTGGGAGTTGTGAGCCAACAAATTTGGAGGGCATCAGGTTGGGAAAGGCTACACTATATGAATTTAGTTGATTATAGGAATAGCAAAACTGGGATACAGTTTACTTCTTATGCCAACTACAATACATTCACACAATACATGCATTTCCAGTGCAAACTGTGTGTATCTTTTACTTTAGTAATTTCCTTTGTCTGCTTTAGCCAATTATGTATAAATGAAATTATTGCTTTAAGATAGCCCCTTTGCCTAGCATATTAGCAATCAGTAGCCTAGGCAAGTATGCCAGTGGCACACTAACTCTACACGCTGCATGAAGTATGTATGTTCATATATGAAATCAGTGGCTATAGAATGATACGTGGCAACTGCTTTATCTGTGGACACCATGATATCAGGTTTGGCTCTTATTAGACAGTAGGTACTTAGTCTCTTCCAGGCTCTCAAAATCCCTGCCTAGCTGACTGGGACCTAAACCTGAGCTACTGCATTTCCTGGGAACACAAGTGCTGCTTACATGCAGCATCCTTCAATTTATCTATTTATTTAATTCCATTTCTATGCTGCCCCATAACTTGAAGGTTCTCAGGGTGGCTTACATATTTTGCTAGTGTTGGAAGGTTTAAAGGGTACCAAACAATAATTCTTAATTCTATCCCCACATATGAACCATTTTCGGGAAAAAGGAGAGGATACTTCTACCTAGGCTAGGCACAATTACAAAATGAAACAGAGGGAATACAGGACAAATTATGTATCTGATCAAATCTCCTAGTTTTTGAGAAACTCATACAAGTATCCTCAAAGTGTTCCTGTCTCTCCATCTATTGAAAGCTGTACTCTGTGGCCTGCTCTAGCAAATTGTCTATCTGCTAGTCAGTTCTCAGGCAAAACATTGATATCCATCACTGAAATGATATCTTTCTTGCCCATAAAGGCAGGCATAGGTAGCCAAAAGTGATGATCAAATGTCACACCACAGAAGAGTATTCCCAAAGTTATATTACTGAACAGAGATTAGGTTGCATTCACAACCATTTCACTGAACAATGACATAACAGAAGAATGGGGTCAACTAAGAATATAATACAGAATATTAAGGATGGGACCTATTAATACAACTCTATATATGAAAAGCAAACTCAAGTTTCAGTAGGAATGAATCTTTCTATAACCAAAATGACACCCTCCAGCCCAGCACGCATGAAAGAAAAGTATCAGCATGCTTTACAGAACCTCTCTTCCTATAAAAAAAGTCCAATGAGGAACATGCTTAGTGGCCACAGAGAACAATAAATAGCTCTTAGTGGGGAAATGGAAAACCAAGAAGTGGGGACAGAACTGAATATCCTGGAAAAGAGCATGGCTGATTGGCCGGCAGTCTGGAATGATTCACTGCACTATTTTGCTGCAGGCCTCACTTTTATATTTCTTATTAACAAATCAAAGAGAATTCCAACAAGATCCAACTATCTGTCAGAAGCCAGTTCTTCCAAGCAGATCAGATTGATTATATTAAATGTGGCCAGCTAGGTTTGCTTTGTGATACAATAAGGAGCATTGTAGAAGCCAGTAATGAAAGATATCAACAAAGTAAGTCCATTAATAGAAGAATGACTCATACTAAGAAGTTGATTCTAAATACAATTCCCCTCCTTTCCCAACCAGCATTAGTTCCACCCTTAGGGTGATTCCTACTGTGTGTGGACCAGACAGTGAGAATGAGAGACACTACTTGGTTCACTCATTTAATCTGATGCCAGACTCAGCAAACCATCAGTTGCATCCAACCTCTAAGTGTCATTCAGGACTGTTTTCCTCAGAACGAAACATGGTTCAATTCTCACCATCCTCTTGATTTACCTTGGGCACACTGGCATTGGCACTTCAGCTAAGAATTCCAACCCATTGCTTTATCCAGTTCAGATTC